CCTCTTCAATGAATTTTAAATTCTAAACATCGTTGTTGTTATTGTTACCAGTCTTAGAAGTTATTAGTCTGCTGTTGTTACCAGTTACCAGTCTGTTGAAGGTCAGCATAAGCCCATCATATGCGCCTCTCGTTGTCAAGAATCTTGACTACCATATAGTATAGAGGGCAACCCGACTTTAGCTAAGCTCCGCCCCCAAGTTTGAGGAAGAGCACCTTGGGGGAGACAGGTCTAAGAGTGTCCAACCTCTCTTTCCCTAGCACTAACCTCCCGAAAGGACTTTCGGTTCGCTGCACATTTGGAGTGCCTCCATGCCGCCCAAACACTCTACATTTAAGGGGTAGCAAAAACCCCTATACCGACAATGTTAAACTGGCCATTTTCGATGTACCTTTTCTCAAAATCTGCTGTAGATACAAGCTTGAAATAATTTTTTCTGTAAATAAAGTATACCTATCTGATTATACTGAAATGAGCTTTTGAAACATTTTGAATTTTAAAGTAAATTACAGAATATTTTGTTAGGTATAGTAAAATTTAGCACTTTTCTCAGACAAAAAAAAAAAAAAAAGATTTTTTTTACTAAGTTTATGACAAAAAGCTCATTTCAGTAAATATTAGGGAACCTAATAAATAAGCCATAAAAAGTTTAGATACCTGTGAGCAGTAGTTCCTGAGAAAAGGTACATCGAGTATAAAAAAATCACGTTTGGAGAAAAACGCGTTTTTATGTAAAAATTCTCATTGATCAAAGCAGTAGATGACAAATTAAAGCTAGATTTTTTTACAATTCTAATTTTCATAGAGATTAAAGAATGGTATTTTTAGAAAGATAAAAGTGTAGAGAATTTGAAAATGCAAGAATCCGAAATCACAATTTTTTGAAGATTTTGGGGTTCCAACACCCCTTAAAAACAACAACACCTTCCCGGGATTCGAATCCGAAACCTTCGGTATGGCAGCCAGAGTTACTAACCACTGTTCCGATTGGGCGGGTTTCTAAACCTTCGCGTGCACATTGGTTTTGAATAAGACTTGTGCTTGAACATTCTCCTTCAATGTCATCATCTCTTCTTGCATCATAATATCAAGACCAAATATATCGCATTCAGTAGTCCTACGAGTCATGCTGACACATTCAAAATTTCAATATCTTGGAAAGCAAGTATTAAGATGTTCTTTTAAATCCTGGTTTTCACATTTTTATGCTGAATATTTTGCATGAAAAATGAGTTTTGAATTGTTTTTCTCTCTAAGCGCCATTCTACGACGTAATTTTTGTGTTACGTATGTCTTAAAATGTTTCCGAAGTGAGACATTTTCAGGATCTTCTGTTGTAGCTTGCTATTGTTTTTTCACCCACGTACTTCTATGCAAGGAAACTAGCGACTTCAGATCAATGTGCATGTGGATAAAGAGGCAGTCCCGACCATTATATATTCAAATGCTCCCTTACAGCTGAACATCGTCTAAAAGTCCCGAATTAAGAGTGAAGTGACTCCCTTTATTAGATACGCTACCAAGAACATCCATCTCCGAAAAAAAATCATAATTATAATGAGCTTCCTGCCCACAAGAGGTACTGAGCTATGCAGCGCAATCTAGAATAATAAAACAAAACTATTACTTAAAACATAGTATGCAAGCAGACCTGGAGCTGCCCTCCATAGCATGTAAGTGCAAAAGGCACCAACTGTAAAAACACCAATGTATATTTAACTCGGCGGAAGGCGCACCAAGAAAAGTTACTAGAACGGGCGCGTGGGGTATCACATACCCCAATATTTAAAATACAATAAAAATAGTATTATTTAGTTTTAAAACTGTTTTTTTTTTTTTTTTTTTTTTTTTTTTTTTGTTTCTCGTGTATTATAAATAAGTGAATAATAATTGGGTTTCCAAAAATTAATTTCCGAAATAATCTTAGAGTTAAAATTAAGATAAATGAAAATAATAAACATCATGCCTCTAAGTTTCATTGCATCTCTAATACACCATTCTTATTTTATTTCTTACCACTTTGAACGAAATACATTCATGTGTTCTTGTCACAGAATGTTTTCACATTTTAAACATTGCATTCACGTTCTTCTGTCCTTGGCGCGAGGGCAAAAAAAATTAACACATCTTTCATACTTAGTTGTTTCGAATTTCATGTATTCGTTTTAATTCTTCGTCGAAACTTCTGCTTTTGTTTTACATGCAGTACATCAATTTCTTGGAAAAGTATTAATCTCTGATCTTCGTTCAATACTTTTTTTCATTAATTGTAATGCTAAGTCCTTCAAAAACAGACTTCTGTTTCTGGTTGGTGGATTAGCAGTTGAATATTATATAATTCAAGCATTTATTACAGCAACATTCAGTGCAGGAAAGAAAATTACCATTGGCCCCCTCCTTGTTATTCTGGCAATTGAATAATTGGTTTACATTTCATCCCCCCATATCCACTGCTCCTTTAGGCATATTATTAAAACGTATAATTCCTGACGCTTTATTTTCTCCAATAGTATCATCTATAGTATGATCGTTATATAATGTTATAATGAACGTTATATAAAGCATAAGAACAGTTTTTCCTTTTTCAGGAACATCAGGAATTAATGTTTTATCTTTTTCGAAACCAAAACATTGTAGAAAATATTTTTAGTTTCATCTTCAGTTTCCGAAATGCAATCTTCATCGCTTTCAAATATTTCTAATAAATCTCGCATGCGTAGCATCTCCAGTTCATAGGGACTCATTCTTTTTACCATAATGCAGTTAGGAATTTTTCAGAATTTAATGTCAAGTACTTTAAAATCACTTGCGAGTAGAAATATTTACTGTTACACTCTAGAAATAAATTTCTGAACTAAATCTTCAGTCAGAAAAACACTTACACGGACAGGCGCGTGGGGTGTGTCATACAACAGTTCCAACAAAATACTGATAAATCTTTTTCTGAAACACAAAGGCAAAGAAAAAGCGGTTCTGAAAGTCAACCACAACTAGAAACTCAGCTACTGAAAGCAGCACAGAATTTCAGTTTCACAAGTTAGGAATATTCCACTTTTATGTAGGGTTGGGGTAGGATTTACCCCACGCGGCTTCCCGCGGGTTAAGGGAAAATGAAAGGCACTGCCCGCGGTCTGTAAAATACAATGTATTGCAAGTAACGCCTGGCAGAATCCCCTGTAAGTCCTGTGGGGTGTAATTTATCTGGATATCTAGTCTGGCTGGACAATACCCACATTGCCAATGCTTAAACAATGGGCGTCCACCACATTTCTCCATATCCATATCCATATTGCTTTCTCAGCATGATATCGTTACGTGAAAATTTGCGTCTTACACCGTTTTGCAGAAATTTCGAGGATCAGAGAACTAGAGCCATTTTACTTTCTTCTTCTTTTTCTAAAGGCCATTGCTTCTACTGTTGCCTTTTGTTCTTGTTTCTGTAGCAGTGCTAATTCTTTCTGGTGAAGCTCTTTTTATGGTCTTCTATAGTAACTTCTCCACTCTTCATTGTTAACAGTCTAGCCCATGGTTTTGTCAAGAGATACAATATGCAGCTCAGTGCCTGCTACCTAATCCGATCATAGTTATTTCCTGGTCAAATTCACGGTCCTGTAAGTGACTTGCTGCCAGGCTTTGATAACGATAACTAAGCTAAGAAAATATTAAAACGATTTTTGCAGAAGTCCATGAGTTTTAATTATGTGGCATAAGTTACCATAAAGCACCTTTGAAAATCACAAATTGCCGATTTGAGCGCCTGGAGGAAATGGTCGTCACCCAAGAAGATTTTGTTTAGATTATTAGTGCGTGAACCGAAAGTTTTGATGTGATATGGTTTATTTAATCACAACAAAGCACAAGGGGACTCATACACCTTAAGCCCCTCATGATCTTCGAATATGTGACTATTGCAAGAATTGGAATATTTTATTTATTTTAAAAGCAATTACTTTCAACTTTTTACATCTGACTACATGATATAGCTGCTTTGGAAATTAGTAACCAGAAAGTTTGTGTTGACACAAATATTTTTGTAATTTAATCCTCTTTGTGACAAAATATTTCGCCATGTTTCCACCTTGCGCGCACGATATTTTAAAAATGGCTAATGGTACATACTTAAAATTGGATGGAATTCTTTATATGGGCACTATTTTCTAACTGAACCAACAATCTGATGAATATTTTAATATTGAAAAATTTTATGGACGAAAACATTACAAATTTTTTTAATAAAATGCATTTTATAAACTCAACTCCAAATAAAATAAAAATTTTAACATGAAAATTTTAGAATTTTAGGTTCACAGTAGTTTCCAGAATGTTATACAAAGCTATATATTAAATATGGAATTAAATTATGAAGCAGAATGTTTTAAAACTGCGTGCGCAAGTTGAAACATGACGAAAAATGTTTGTCACAAAGCGGATTAAATTATAAAAATATTTGTGGCAACACAAACTTTCTGATTACTATTTCAGAAAGCAGCTATATTATGTAGTCAGCTGTTAAAAAATGGCAGTAATTGCTTTTGAAATAAATAAGTTATCCCAATTCTTGCAACAGTCACCTTTTCGAACATCTTATGGATTTTAAGGTGTATGAGTCTCCTTAACGGCTATCTAAGGGAAGAGATGCCTTCGTGAAGGACTTTTTAAGGTAAACTGGCTCTTTTATAAGTTGCACATGGGGGAAAACCACGAAAACGTCCATGCAGCCGGGATTCGACCCCCGGATCGAATTATCTGTATTCAGCGACTTTACCGCTTAGCCGCTAGTAGGCTTTCTAAACGAAGTGTAATCTAAGATTCCACTGTACTGAATATTTAAATATAGTACATAAGTTAATTGAGTAGTGTTTGCATCACTTTCATTCTGAATTCAGTTTCTTTTTTAAATGAAAAAAATTAAAAAACAATTGCGACTTTTGCATGAAATTGCATAAAAATTTTGCAGTTTAATTTTGAAATTCTAATATAAATTCCTCTTTATATTGCAGGTAATTCACATAGCTGACGACTAGAAGCTAAAGTACAATATCAGGTAATGTATCTTAACGATTTATGAATTTATAACTTCAAGAATAACATTGTTCACAGTTTCGGTAACCCTTTTTATTTGCTTGTAGTTTAAAAAAAAGAAAAAGCAATCCTTGTTATTAAATTCCTACTATTAGCTCACACATTCCCTTTACCTTGTTCAAATTTCAATCGTTAATAAAATACTTTGTATTCATCCACAAGTTCAAATACAATTTTTTAACTTGTAGTGGATCACACTTGATGTTAATACAGTTTTTTCACATATTAAAATTTTTAGTTAATATTTTTTATGTATTTTTAAAATTTTTTTGTTGACCCAAGTATTTTTTTTTATTTAATTAATTATAAATTAGTTAATTTTCAGTCGTTAATAAAATACTTTTTATTCATCCACTCAAGTTTCAAATACATTTTTTTTTAACTTGTAGTGGATGACACGATGTTAATACAGTTTTTTTTCACATATTAAAAATTAAAATTTTTAATTAAAAAACTTTTTTGGTATTACATTTATTTTATTTTATTTTATTTATTTATTTATTTTTTTGTATTTTAAAATTTTTCTTTGTTCACCTAAGTAGGAACTGACTTTTAAAAAAAAAATTATATTATTTATTTTTTTAGTTAAACTAATCGAAAATGTTTCTTTCCTAGCTTTGTAAAACTTTATGAAACAGTTTGTAAAATTTAATAGATATTCATATGAGAATAAAATTGTGTTTAATATAATTAATAAATTCATTAAACACGGTTAAATTGATTATTTTTGTGTTCAATTTATTTTTGTTCAAAAGAGAAAAATAACTTTAATAACTTGCAATTAATGTTTCGTAACACCAATTTAACTGTTCAGTCAACGCGTGGACGTAATTAAAAAAAAGTCACTTTGGCTCATTCGGCTTATCTTTTCAATTTTTTTTTGCGGGGGGGGGAAGGAAATCCCTTTCAGAGATTTTGATAGATAATTTTTACAAGGAAAAATATGCCTTTAAGCATATTTTTAACTTAAGCCATAACTAGAGAAATCATACAAAAAGGCTAAGTTCTACTCGACATAAAGTTCTTAAAAATATGTTATAAAAGAAGTCAAAGTAAGCAAATTAAAGATTGCCAAAGATCGCCCAAATGATTATTTCATGATAAAATAAGTAATATATGACGAAAGTAATATTTTTCATTAATTAAAATTTTGATGAAAAAGTATATTACTCATTAAGGTGCCCACCGAAAACATCGCGGAAGAAACAACGCAAAGGGGAAAATATCGACGTCCAAATCATTGCGGAAAAAAATTAAACGAAGGAGAAAACATGTCGATATCAAACATCGTTGTTCAAAACCGCAGTTTCAAACATATCGCAGAAATTACCGTGGTAAGAAATAAAGCACCCACAAAGTGCTGCGTGATGCTGACATCGCAGACATATATTTGTAGGCTTTAAACGTTTTGTACATGAAGACGTTCAAAACACTTTAAGAACACTATTAAACTGACACTAGATAAAACTTAACTTTCACTAAAAGAATATCAGTTTAATAAATGTGCAAGGAAATAATTTTATGATTTGATTATTAATTAAACAGTTTTATTTTAGCTAACCTCATACAGTTACTCATCCTCCATTTTCTAATCATTTTCATGGAATATTTTTCTTAAAACGTTCTAATAGAATTTTTAAAAGAGATGATTAAACAATGACTTTTAATAGTTAATTACATAAGCTTAAAATTATATTAATTGCTATATGCACCATTAATTTCTACTCATTTTCAATTTTTGAATACTCAAGTTTCATTTGTGCCTTTATAGTAAAAGTTAAGTAATTAATTCAAAAATATGAAGGATAGAGGAAAAAGTATTCCTCGTTTCTTCTTGTGCTACAAAAGCATTGTGCAAACATGTATATAAAATTTTTAAATCTGAAAACACATGTCTGTAATATTATCATCATGCGGTGATTTCTAGGTGCTTTAATTTTACCGCGATATTTTCTGCGATGCTGTTTTAAAACTGCAAATTTTCTGAACTGATTTATTTTCTACGACAATATTTTATGCCACGAAGTTTCAGAACTGCGATGTTTTGTGCTTGCTTTCTTTTCTTCCACAATGTTTTGCATGGTGATGTTTTCACCTTGCCCTGTATCATTATCGATGTTCTGCACCATTTTCGTCCGCGATGGTTTCTCCTGAAACCTTTATAATTCATTATATCTATTTGTATATTAATTTTAAATGCTCAAGTTGTTAAAAACAGGATAAGTTAAAAATTTGCCTTGTCGAAGGGTATTTAACACCTGTAAGAATTGGTAGTATGCTAGGTCACATAGATGGTAAATATTCTGGTAGGATAACGTAACAATATGGGAAGCGAGAAGAGAAAGGTTATGAATTTTCAATTATTTGTTTAATGATGCCTATTTTGAAGGCAAGGTATTTTAAAATAGTTTTTTTTTTCTTTTAAATAAGCATTTGTGTGTTAAAAGAAAAGAGTAAAGTTTAGAACAAAGTTGAAAAACTTGACCTAACCGCAACTTGACAGGGGCTTACAACCCAAAAATTCTCAACTCATCTACACACTAAAAGGCACACTCATTTTTAAGAAGATTTCTTGTTTTGTTAAAAATTCTGTTGTCTTTCCTCTTCCACATAGCTTATAAATTGTCTACATATATTTTGCCAGAATTTAACTTTCTTGTTTATTCTCCAATAAAATTCCAAGTTCCATACTCAAGGACCCCTTCCGGATATGAAATTCCTTGGGGTTTTATTATAGGTTGCCAGTAATTGTTTATTTCCTTGGCCAAACTAAGAGAGCCTTAAAATTTTCGCGTCAAGGAACCCGAGGCATATGTTAAAAAAAGGTTCAAACACAGGAACAGTTGGTCAAGTTCTCAACATTTTCAGTTCGTTTCTGCTGCCAAAATTATTTAAAAACATCTTCCATTGGAGAACTGGATTTTCTAGAGGCATAAACTAAGAGAGCATAAAAATCTTTCTGTTTCTAGTTGACGATCCTAATTCCAATCCAAATTTTTAAAGAAATATGTTTTGTTAGGTTTCACCAACAGATGGCGCCTTCTTCACTTATTCTTGTCCGCTTTCTTACTATCTATCATTATTGCCAAAATTTTTCATTGCTTTTTTGCAGATGTTGGTTCTATTATGAAACTAATAAAATTTTCTTTCTAGTTGACGTTCCAAAAATGTTCGGCCTTTAAAAAATAATGTTTTAGTTTTTACCACAGATGGCGCCACTTGCTTATTCTTGTCCAGGCTTTCTTATCTTATCTAATCATTATTTCCTATATTGTTCATTTGCGGTTTTGCAGATGTTGGTTCGGTAAAACCATCGAAACTAGTCCTGTGAAAATTGTGTAAATATAACGCTGATTTCTGTTGTTTGACTTCTGAATTGTTATTGTGTCTTAACTTCTAATTACTTAGTAAGCAATAAAAAAGAGAAAAGAAGACTTGCAGATGGGACTTATTTCTCAAATTTGGTTATTAAATTTATATATAAGAACGCATATAAGATATATAAGAATTTCGTATAAGGATAATCTTTTTACAATGAAAAAAACTGTTAGTTTTCTAGCTCTTTTCGTTGCGAAGACTATCAAGACTAAAAATTTATAACGTAAATCTATTTTCAATTTATACAATTTAACCAAATATGGGCAGTGTGTAAAAGAAATATTCTTTTCTAAAAACTAAAACGTCATTTTATATATAAAAAAAAAAAAAAAAAAAAACTGCGTTAACGAAACAGTCTTGAGTGTGATTGTATTTTTACTGATTTGGAAAATAGTCTTCGTTTTAATTAAATTTGTTTAAAAGTAAAATTAAATTTTTATATTCCGATAACAGAAAAGGCGGAATCCACAAATACGTAAAGAGCAAGAATAACGCCATTTACTATATTCATTGATATACGTTTCCGCGTTTTCCTTAGATAGTCCATTTTCCTTTAATACATAATTTATTTAACTATACAAATAATATATCTATTCCCAAACTAATTCTAAAAGAGAGAAGCAAAATTATAATCTGAAACATTTATAAGTACACTGTCGAAAAAAAAAAAAATGGGGCAGTTCTATATTGTTACGAAATGTCCAGGCGCGGTAAGATAGCTTCCCTGCAAAGCAGTTTTAGGGTTGCCATAAATGCCAAGAGAAGACCGGGTTGCCACATTTGTCGAGAAATTGCCCATTTGGTCACAAAATTGGCGATAATCCATGGACGGATGGAGAACCTTCTGGAACGAATTTTTACCGGTTTAGCCCAGAATGTTCTCGAACACCAGTAAAAAGCTATATAAACCCTGCTGGTACGCGGAGAGTAAGTTAGTATCTAGTTGGTGTCTAGTCTAACGAGTCAATCCCTGCGGAGTCGATCGAGTTGACAGCCGGGCAGCGAGTGCCGAGTGGGTCGTCGAGTGCACCGAGAGTCTGTTAGTGTATCGCGGTTAGTGCATCGTCGAGAGAGCGTGTTGAGCTCTGAGTCGAAGAGTCGGGGGCTGTGCTCTGTATGTCGTCGATTGCATCGCGAGTTGTAGCGTGGAATGTCTCGAGAGTACGTGGAGTTCCGAGAACGACCAAGCAGAGTCAGGAGCTGTACTGTGGTGCTTTGCAGTGAAGCTGTCTCGACCGTTATAGCTCGATAGTGTCGCTGATTGTGTCAGCGAGTTTATAGTAGTTCTTCTACGACTGTAAAATTGCTTTGGAGCTGTCCTGATTAGTATTGGGTAAATAAAGTGTGTTTCGATACTTCATCAAGTATCGTCGCTATTCACTCCAAATCCATACGAACCCCGTACGAACGTGAAAGAAGAAATTTAACGTACGAACTGGTGTCAGAAAAGAAAAGAAAAGTGCAACAATATCTCCCGTTCTAGTGAGCTGACTGACGAAATTCAGTTGTAGGGCTTTAATATTTGGTGGCAACAATTTGAAAGTGAATGGACATCTATATTGAACCAACGCAAAATGCCAAAAC